CATGTAATTGTCTGTTGTACGATGATACATGTAATTGTCTGTTGTACGATGATACATGTAATTGTCTGTTGTACGATGATACATGTAATTGTCTGTTGTACGATGATACATGTAATTGTCTGTTGTACGATGATACATGTATTTGTCTGTTGTACGATGATACATGTAATTGTCTGTTGTACGATGATACATGTAATTGTCTGTTGTACGATGATACATGTAATTGTCTGTTGTACGATGATACATGTAATTGTCTGTTGTACGATGATACATGTAATTGTCTGTTGTACGATGATACATGTAATTGTCTGTTGTACGATGATACATGTAATTGTCTGTTGTACGATGATACATGTAATTGTCTGTTGTACGATGATACATGTAATTGTCTGTTGTACGATGATACATGTAATTGTCTGTTGTACGATGATACATGTAATTGTCTGTTGTACGATGATACATGTAATTGTCTGTTGTACGATGATACATGTAATTGTCTGTTGTACGATGATACATGTAATTGTCTGTTGTACGATGATACATGTAATTGTCTGTTGTACGATGATACGTGTAATTGTCTGTTGTATGATGATACATGTAATTGTCTGTTGTATTATGATACATGTAATTGTCTGTTGTATGATGAAACATGTAATTGTCTGTTGTACGATGATACTTGTAATTGTCTGTTGTATGATGATACGTGTAATTGTCTGTTGTACGATGATACATGTAATTGTCTGTTGTACGATGATACATGTATTTGTCTGTTGTACGATGATACATGTAATTGTCTGTTGTACAATGATATATGTAATTATCTGTCGTACGATGATACTTGTAAATGTCTGTTGTACGATGATACATGTTATTGTCTGTCGTACGATGATACGTGTAATTGTCTGTTGTACGATGATACATGTATTTGTCTGGTCGTACGATGATACGTGTAATTGTCTGTTGTACGATCGCGATGATACTTGTAATTGTCTGTTGTACGAAATTTACAATTTACAGAAAGCCCCTGATGATCTTTCCATCCATGCAGAGACATTTACTGCAGTGCCTCTGAGTCTGAAGAAAAAGATTTTTGAAATATTGGTTAATTTCCCCTTTGGGGCCCCGCCCTTGCCACTTGGGTTGGGGCAGGAATCCCAATTTTACAATTTGATACCATCTTCTTCCAAGGATTCTCACAAAGGATAGAATAATTTCCTACAGAAAATTGTCAAAATATACTCAAAAGTGTTTTTTCCCTAAATAAACTATAGTAAACTTTACTTCCGTGGGGAACGAATGGCCCGGGGGTACTAAAATTTACAATTTACATAAACCCCCTGAGGACCTTTCCATCCAATCAGAGCAATTAACTGCAATACCTCTGAGTCTGGAGGAGATATTTTTTGAAATATTGGCTAATTTCCTCTTTGGGGCCCGGTCCAGGCCCCTGGGGTTGGATTAGGAATCCCAATTTTACCATTTTGTAGCCTCATTTACCAAGAATTATTCTGAACAAGTTTTAAAAAATGCCATCATCTGGTTCTTGAGAAGAAGTCGAAAATGTAAAAAGTTTACGGACGACGGACGGAAATCGATCAGAATAGGTCACCTGAGCTTGATTAATTGCAAACAAAGGGCTTGTTAGTTTCATATTAATCAGCTAATGTGTGTAATATTATGAACCATACCACTACACTAAAGAGATTACTATGACCGTCACGGTTACGACAAACCTCGGTGGACTGAAAACCCACCAGCAGAGAGAGTCTACCACCTTTTATTTTAAAAGATGAAACCAAATTAAAGGCGGCAGGAGTTATATGTACCTTGTTGTAGGTGAGAACGAGGCCGACTTGTGAACGCACCACAAGCGTCTCCGTGCAATGATGTATCTTTGAAATATGTACAGATTTTGTGATAACTTATGATTATATTATATTTAATATATAGAAATGGAAAGAATAAAGCAGGAATGCTTTTAATTGCTACAAACGTCGGCGTGTAGTTAAGGGAAAGGTTAAAGTAGAAATGTATTTTATGAGACGATATTTATATGTTGTTTGGGAATGGTACGGGAAGGATGAGGCATAATGCTATACTGAAATTGTTATATTATGATGGTATGCTAATTTGTACGACAACGTTTCCATTAGAACTTCGAGTAAATTACTTTTTTGTGTAACAAAACCAAGCGTTATGAGGATGAGCAGCAGTCATTGACAGATCCAGAGGTTTAAACCACTGGTACAGGTACATCTTTGTATGGTCTTCATTCATATTTTCAACGGAAAATTGTAACTATTACAGAATTGGTTCAGTCTTTATAGCTTGGTCGAGGCGTTAAACACTGTGCTGCTAAATTTTGTATCACTGTGCATAACTATGAAGTATAAGTTGTATATACTTGAACCTGAATTGAAGTAATGAACTCTATGGAACTTTACACGTTACACGTAGGCTGGTTTACACTCAGTATTACCGTTACAAGTGAAATATCCTTTTAAACATATAGTGCAACAGACGCGATATCCTTTTAAAACTGACATTGCTCGAGGTCATTATCCATTGTATAAGTTAACTTGAATGTACTGACCACGTTTGATCAGGTGACGAACACGCTGTCAGGCCCTCGAGGGGTCAGTAACCCACACAGCTTGGCGGTATCCCGAACGTGACGGTAGGTACTGTTGTTTTGTACTTTTTCATCGTTGAAAAATATTTCAAATAAATCAAACATTGAATGTTTTTCTATTGTGTGAACTTGAACTGTAAGGGCATTTTGTAATTCATCCTTTTATGTCGCAAGAACTACCTGTCAAAACGGTCTCCTACATACCCACTTAATGTTTGTTTTGCGTCAGTATTAATTTGAGATGAACTGTACTCCTTTAATTTGAAATTCATATAATTAATTGATTTAGCACACACTCCCTGATGGTTTCAACAGTAGGTTAGACCAGTTCAGACTCCAAACTTTTGACGCCATCTCCGACGAGTCATAGAAAGACAAAACAGCTGTATGATGCAGGTGTAATTTTTGTTTTGCACACTGTATATATTAGTGCAATGTGATTAAACGTTCAGCTGAGTCATGTAGATTTCTGTGTCTGTATACAGTGGCACTACAAACTCTGTATGGTAAAGTTACTATGTTCGGGACTCACTTGATGATATCAGATATAAGATGACATAATGTTCCATATATCCTCATTGTTTAATTAAATCCCGCTGATGTATCTGGTTTTTCTCGGTGTAACTATTTTCGGAATTCGCAGGTAAATATTATGGATGACGTCACGACAATTGTAACTCAAAGCTCTCTGCCAATTTAAAACCGGTGTTTTTCACTTGACGAATTTCTTTAGTTTCATTTTGTATAAGAATACATTTTTATTATTTGATATTATCATCTCGGTTGATATCGCTAAATCACATTTTCATATAACCATATATTTACCTAAACATACTAATTGTATTCTCTCTCTACACGGTAAATCTCAATCATCACGTGATGTACACCTAACTTTACAAATATTCCCTTGATTTACAGGATGTCCGGCGAACTATAGGATACACACATACCGGACACCTACACTTTAACTAATACACACATACCGGACACCTAGATATCACTACACAGATATCGGATACCTATATATCACTACACAGATATCGGATACATATATATCACTACACAGATATCGGATACCCAGATATCACTACTGTGATACCCAGATATCACTACACAGATATCGGATACCCAGATACCGGACACCTAGATATCACTACACAGATATCGGATACCTATATATCACTACACAGATATCGGATACCTAGATATCACTACACAGATATCGGATACCCAGATATCACTACACAGATATCGGATACCTATTTATCACTTCACAGATATCGGATACCCAGATATCACTACACAGATATCGGATACCCAGATATCACTACACAGATATCGGATACCCAGATATCACTACACAGATATCGGATACACAGATATCACTACACAGATATCGGATACACAGATATCACTACACAGATATCGGATACCTATATATCACTACACAGATATCGGATACATATATATCACTACACAGATATCACTACACAGATATCGGATACCCAGATATCACTACACAGATATCACTACACAGATATCACTACACAGATATCGGATACCCAGATATCACTACACAGATATCACTACACAGATATCACTACAGATATCACTACACAGATATCACTACACAGATATCGGATACCCAGATATCACTACACAGATATCGGATACCTAGATATTGAGGATACATGATCGAACCTTCTGTGTAATTGTATTGATGGATAGTTAACACTCTTTTGCATTGACGTTCGTATTGTCAGTTCTGTGTAACAATTAAACACAAAGTCATTCACTGTGAAAGAATTTCAATACTTAGACAATGTTGACATCGAAACTGAAGCTTTTAATGGCAGGGATATTGGTAGTGACATCAGTTCAGATAATATATCTGGTGATAAGATTTAATTCTCTGTTATCACAACAGGAAAGCTTACGGCAAATCCGCAAAGTCGATTACGCTCGTGTGAAAGAAAACGAAGAAGAGTTACAAAAAGAAAAGCAAAGACTGATAAAAGAACACGAAAAAATCATAGAAGAGCAAAAACAAAAAATACTGGAACAGCAAAAACAACACGAACAGCAACAGAAAGAGTTTGAACGCCAGAAAGAGGAGTATGCGAAAGAGAAACAACGGCAACAGGAGGAACAACAGCAGCAACAGCGAAAACAGCATCACAACAATCCTGGAAATGGTTTATTTGGATTGCCAAAGAACATCGCTCAACAAGCTGGTTTGCAGGGTTTGGTGCCAGAGTTAGCTAACATGATGCCAAATATGAACGACTTAATGGGCGATATGGCGAATCCCTTACAAGACGTGGATATTAATGACATGCTTAATGACAACGCAGGCGGTGATGACAACGCAAGGCCGAAACGGGCGCTCATGTCAGGAATTGGTAGGTGTTTTACCGTTATATATTAATGAGCATAGTACTTAAATGTTCTATATGAATATGTGTATCATATTTCATTGTTTTATGTCATGAATGTGTGTATTTCTCTTCTAGTTTACGTCAGAAATGGACTTGCTACGTTATTTCATTCGTTGATACAATTTTTGTATATAGCCCTATTTAATCTTAGGGAAATTACTTAAGGCCACTCAGCAATCAGAGGACAGCAGACAAAAAGTCTTTTTGTCTAAATGTAAACAATAAAAAAACTCTTGATTCTGTTTTGTTCAACTCAGCCGTATTTTTTTCTTTATAAATATTATGCAAGGTTTGGTTATTCTTTTAAAGTTAATTGTCAATGCCATACTTGTAGTAGTAGTGATGCAAATACAGTTTCCATTTAAACTCTGCGCATAGTGACAGTTTGTCTTAGATAAATCACTTTACCATTTAAACAAGTAAATAGATAAATAATAATTTTAGAAAACATGGTGTAATCAATATCATTTTAATCGTGCGTATGAAAACAACTGATATTAAGAACCGATACTGCAATAGTAAACATTATACTTTTGACGGTGAAAGCCGAAGAGGGTTTAACATCATGTTGGAGGGTGCCGTATGGAGCTCAGTCTATCGTAGTTGGCTAGCCGTGAGTCATACAGTGATTCCCATCGCTAGCCGTGAGTCATACAGTGATTCCCATCGCTAGCCGTGAATACTATGTCGAGTCCAACTGTTGTATCCTATTGTGTTTGCGATTGTTAACCTTCGATACGTCCATGAATGTGGCTATTGTTTTGTTAAGTAGACTAACATCACCTCAGCATTCCCTCCACGTTAATTGGTAATTAACGGTCATTCTTATAAACATTATCTAGTTTGTTTGCATTCGTATGCATTTTGTGTGTGTTATATTGCCTGTGTAATATTGTCTTCCAGGTGAAGGTGGTAAGCCAGGTCATATACAAACATCATCACTATCACGCGAAGAACGAAGAGCTTATGATCAAGGTTGGAAAGACAACGCTTTCAATCAGTACCTGAGTGACCGAATCTCTCTCCACAGGTCCTTACCCGACGCCCGAGACCCCACGTAAGGTCACACTATGTATTTACACTATCTGATGACAATCATGTCTTGATCTACGCTCTGTTCCGTATTTCTTACGTCCTACACAGTGATAACAGTAGAGATAGTTATCTTGTCTATATCACAATGAACAACATTAGTTGCAAGTGTGTGGCAACTTGCGTATTCAATGAACACATCATATTATGTATATATGTGCATATTCCGTTCGATCCCTACTTTGCCGTGTGTCATCATGGTTTTGATGTGAGTTTGAATATCTTTCAAAAAGGGTCTGCCTGTTTGTCTCTCTCTTTAATATGTACATAAACATTCTTTCAACTACTTTTCAGTTGTTGATATTGACATATCATATGAGGTTGTTGGTACAGTATGTACACACTTTATTACAAATACGGTAATCTTTGAAGCAATGGTCTTCTACTATACATTACTTCTACTATAAATTACTTCTACTATACATTACCTCTACTATACATTACCTCTACTATACATTACCTCTACTAAACATTACCTCTACTATACATTACCTCTACTATACAGTACCTCTACTATACATTACCTCTACTATACATAACTTCTACTATACATTACTTCTACTATACATTACCTCTGCTATACATTACCTCTACTATACATTAATTCTACTATACATTACTTCTACTATACATTAACTCTACTATACATTACTTCTTCTATACATTACTTCTACTATACATTACCTCTACTATACATTACTTCTACTATACATTACTTCTACTATACATTACCCCTACTATAAATTACTTCTACTATACATTACCTCTACTATACATTACCTTTTCCATACATTACTACATTTCTTCTACTATACATTACTTCTACTATACATTCCCCCTACTATAAATTACTTCTACTATACATTAACTCTACTATACATTACTTCTTCTAAACATTACTTCTACTATACATTACCTCTACTAGACATTACCTCTACTATACATTACTTCTACTATACATTAACTCTACTATACATTACTTCTTCTAAACATTACTTCTACTATACATTACCTCTACTAGACATTACCTCTACTATACATTACTTCTACTATACATTACCCCTACTATACATTACCTCTACTATACATTACCTTTTCCATACATTACTACATTTCTTCTACTATACATTACTTCTACTATACATTACTTCTACTATACATAACTTCTACTATACATTACTACATAGCTTCTACTATACATTACTTCTACGATACATTACTTCTACTATACATTACTTCTTCTATTCATTACTTCTACTATACATTACTTCTACTATACATTACTTCTACTATACATTACATCTACTATACATTACCTCTACTATACATTACTTCTACTATACATTACCTCTACTATAAATTACCTCTACTTTACATTACCTCTACTATACATTACTTCTACTATACATTACCTCTACTTTACATTACCTCTACTATACAGTACCTCTACTATACATTACCTCTACTATACATAACTTCTACTATACATTACTTCTACTATACATTACCTCTGCTATACATTACCTCTACTATACATTAATTCTACTATACATTACTTCTACTATACATTACCTCTACTATACATTAATTCTACTATACATTACTACATTACTTCTACGATACATTTCCTCTTCCATACATTACTACATTTCTTCTACTATTCATTACCTCTACCATACATTACTGCATTACTTCTACCATACATTACTTCTACTATACATTACCTCTACTATACATTACTTCTTCTATACATTACTTCTACCATACATTACTACATTACTTCTACGATACATTACCTCTTCCATACATTACTACATTTCTTCTACTATACATTACTTCTACGATACATTACTTCTACTATACATTACTTCTACAATACATTACTACATTACTTCTTCTATACATTACTATACATTACTTCTACTATAAATTACTTCTACTATACATTACCTCTACTATACAATACTTCTTCTATACATTACTTCTACCATACATTACTACATAACTTCGACTATACATTACTTCTACCATACATTACTGCATTACTTCTACTATACATTACCTCTTCCATACATTACTACATTTCTTCTACTATACATTACTTCTACCAAACATTACTACATAACTTCTACTATACATTACTTCTCCCATACATTACTGCATTACTTCTACCATACATTACCTCTACCATACATTACTACATTACTTCTACTATACACTACTTCTTCTATACATTACTACATTACTTCTTCTATACATTACTACATTACTTCTTCTATACATTACTTCTACTATACATTACTTCTACCATACATTACCACATAACTTCTACTATACATTACTTCTCCCATACATTACTGCATTACTTCTACCATACATTACCTCTACCATACATTACTACATTACTTCTACTTTACACTACTTCTTCTATACATTACTACATTACTTCTTCCATACATAACTACATTACTTCTACTATACATTACGTCTACTACACATTACTACATTACTTCTACTATACATTACTACATTACTTCTTCCCTTCTACTATACATTACTTCTACTACACAAATCTACTACTATACATTACTTCTACCATACAATACTTCTACTATACATTACTTCTACTACACATTACTACATTACTTCTACTATACATTACTTCTACCATACATTACTTCTACTATACATTACCTTTACTATACATTACTTCTACTATACATTATTTCTACTATACATTACTTCTACTACACAAATCTACTACTATACATCACTTCTACCATACAATACCTCTACTATACATTACTTCCACTATACATAACTTCATTTTTCTACAATACATTAACTACTATACATTACTTCTACCATACATTACCACATTACTTCTTCCATACATTACTACATTACTTCTACTATACATTACCTCTACTAAACATTACTTCTACTATACATTACTTCTACCATACTTTACTACATTACTTCTACCATACATTACTACATTACCAATTACCTCTACCATACATTACTACATTACCTCTACTATACGTTACATCTACTATACATTACTTCTACTATACATACATTACTGCATTACTTCTACCATACATTACCTCTATCAACATTACTTCTACTATACATTATTTCTACTATACATTACTTCATTTTTTTACAATACATTACTACATTACTTCTACAATACTTATACTATATACATTACTTCTACCATACATTACTGCATTACTTCTACTATACATTACCTCTACTAAACATTGCTTCTACTATACATTACTACATTACTTCTACTATACACTTCTACCATACATTACTACATTACTTCTTCCATACATTACTACATTATTTCTACTAAACATTACTTCTACGACACAAATCTACTACTATACATTACTTCTACCATACAATACTTCTAATATACATTACTTCTACTACACATTACTACATTACTTCTACTATACATTACCTCTACTAAACATTACTTCTCCTATACATTACTACATTACTTCTACAATACTTATACTATATACATTACTTCTACCATACATTACTGCATTACTTCTACTATACATTACCTCTACTAAACATTACTTCTCCTATACATTACTACATTACTTCTACAATACTTATACTATATACATTACTTCTACTATACATTACCTCTATACATTACCTCTACCATACATTACTGCATTACTTTTACTATACATTACCTCTACCATACATTACTACATTACTTCTTCCATACATTACTACATTATTTCTACTATACATTACTTCTACTACACATTACTACATTACTTCTACTATACATTTCCTCTACCATACATTACTACATTGCTTCTTCCATACATTACTACATTACATCTACTAGACATTACTTCTACTATACATTACTACATTACTTCTTCTATACATTACTTCTACCATACATTACTACATTACCAATTACCTCTACCATACATTACTACATTGCTTCTTCCATACATTACTACATTACATCTACTAGACATTACTTCTACTATACATTACTTCTACCATACGTTACTACATTACTTCTACTATACATTACCTCTTCCATACATTACTATACATTACTTCTACTATACATTACCTCTACTAAACATTACTTCTCCTATACATTACTACATTACTTCTACAATACTTATACTATATACATTACTTCTACCATACATTACTAAATTACTTCTACTATACATTATTTCTATTATACATTACATCTATTATACATTACTTCTACTATACATTACCTCTACTAAACATTACTTCTACCATACATTACTACATTACATCTACTAGACATTACTCCTACTATACATTACTTCTACTATACATTACCTTCTACTAGACATTACTTATACTATATACATTACTTCTACCATACATTACTACATAACTTCTACTATACATTACTTCTACCATACATTACTATATTACTTCTTCCATACATTACTACATTACTTCTGCTATACATTACTTCTACCATGCATTACTACATTACTATAACTTCTACTATACATTACTTCTACCATACATTACCACATTACTTCTTCCATACATTACTACATTACTTCTGCTATACATTACTTCTACTAGACATTACTTATACTATATACATTACTTCTACCATACATTACTACATTACCAATTACCTCTACCATACATTACTACATTACCTCTACTATACGTTACATCTACTATACATTACTTCTACTATTACTTTTACCATACATTACTACATTACTTCTACTATACATTACCTTCTACTAGACATTACTTATACTATATACATTACTTCTACCATACATTACTATATTACTTCTTCCATACATTACTACATTATTTCTACTAAACATTACTTCTACTACATACATTACTTCTACTATACATTACCTCTACTAAACATTACTTCTCCTATACATTACTACATTA